TGGTTACCGGTGGCCAATCGTTGAAGAAGTTCCACGACACTGTCTGTCCTAGCTGCAAACAAATTAAGCTGACCTATTTCATCATGATTTTTGCCTCTGTCGAATTTGTGCTGTCTCACCTTCCTAATTTCGACTCGATTTCTGGTGTTTCCTTAGCTGCTGCTGTCATGTCCTTGAGGTATATAACAAATTCACAATTCACATCCTCTGTTGTGCCTTATTGATAAATGTTAACTCAAGATTTGGTGATTGGTTTTTCTCACACAGTTACTCGACCATCGCTTGGGCAGCTTCACTATCTAAGGGTGTTCAGGATGATGTGCAATATGGCTACAAAGCGTCGACTACGCCCGGAACTGTGTTTGGCTTCCTCAGTGGCTTGGGAGATATAGCTTTTGCTTACTCTGGACACAATGTGGTGTTGGAGATCCAAGCTACGATCGAATCTACTCCCGAGAGGCCATCAAAGGGACCGATGTGGAAAGGTGTCGTTGTCGCATACATAGTCATTGCCTTGTGCTACTTCCCAGTTGCCTTAATCGGATACTGGATGTTTGGCAATTCTGTCCGAGACAACATCCTTCTCTCATTGGAGAAACCAGCATGGCTCATTGCAATGGCCAACATGTTTGTTGTTATTCATGTTATCGGAAGCTACCAGGTTCGTATCAGGTGGTGTTTCTTATTATCTTTTTGGTTCAGATTTAATCAATTAGGCGTCGGTTTATGTTGTCTCTATAGATCTATGCAATGCCGGTGTTTGACATGATCGAAACTCTGCTAGTAAAGAAACTAGACTTCCCGCCTTCCCAAATGCTCCGATTCATTGTTCGCAATTCTTATGTTGGTAAGTGAAACCAAAACTCTTTGTTTCTTTCAACCTACTTGAATGTAAGTTCATGCATCACACATTTTCATTGCAGCAATAACGATGTTCTTCGGGATTACTTTCCCGTTCTTCGGTGGTCTTCTTGGTTTCTTCGGAGGACTCGCGTTTGCACCAACAACATACTTCGTAAGCCACATCATCATCACAAAAACTAACAATTCTCTTTGAAGAATTTTCACATCAAGAACTCATTTCTTTCTTGTTCTTCAGCTCCCCTGTATCATGTGGCTTGTCATCTACAAACCGAAAAAATTCGGCTTATCTTGGTGGACTAACTGGGTAAGAAAACTTGATTCAAAGCTTATTAACCTTATTTCCTTATTTAGTTGATCTTATTTGGGTTTCCTTTTTCTTTTCCCCCTCAGATCTGCATTGTAATTGGTGTTTTATTGATGGTCCTATCACCTATTGGAGGATTGAGGCAAATCATAATTCAAGCCAAAGACTACAAATTTTACTCTTGAATTGTTGTCTTCAGACAGTGAAGAAATTTATAGGCATATAGGCCTATTATCAATCAATTCATAGGGTTTTATGCTAGAAGTTTGCAGAATATAAACCAATTATTAGGGTAATTAAGATTAAATATCTGTTTGAAGGAGTCTGCAGCAGAAGAGTAGTTTTATGCCATGAATTTTGCATTTGAGAAATCAGTCAGTTTTTTCAAGTACTTATCTGAAAGCATTGTGGGTACAAATTATATCAACATCAATAAAATACAAATTGCGAGGTTTATGCTGTTTTAAGGCCGGCCTCGAATCCGAGTGTTGAATGAGTATGCTCATGTATTCATAGGATCTTATTTGTATACGCATGAAATGACCATACAGCTCAGTTGGCAGAGCACAAGGTTCTTAACCTTGAGGTCGTGGGATGGAGTCTCACGGAAGGCATTTCATAATATGGAGGTCTCCTACGGAAGCTGTTCTCAACCTGGTGTTGGGGGCAGTCTACTATCTTACCTCCCCTTATCCCATTACATATGGGAATAAGGGTCAGCTAATTTTTTTTTATTTGTATACGCATATGACAAAATGTATGGAGGCTATTATGTGCCTAGCCTGCAACAATACAAGGAGAATCAACCATCCATTCCCTTTCATAGTAAGTCGTTATCAGAAAATAGAGATGCAAAAATGTCAATAAATGAGGTAATATATTCATCAAATCGAAGAAGGAAACTGCAAGACTCAAATGTTATTATCTGTGGACCTACTTTGAATTACCAAGTTGTATTATTCTAATTAATGCAAATGCTCTATTCGGCAATAATTTCTCATACGCTTCGAATCATACAACAATAGCTGGAAAAAACTGTCTGATGATGCATATTACTTCGTAAAGTTATAATATTCTAAACATATAAAAAGATATTTAACATGCATTGGATTTTTTTGTCATTGCAGAACAATGACATTTGGAAATGGATGAAAACATTCGAATGAAAACAAACATCAGAATCAAAAGTAGTCTGTCGTAATATTTTTTACGAATTTGTCTTGGCGGAGTTTGCTTTACATTTGGTGTCGTTTGCTTGATTCACCTTCTTTGAAACTACCAATCAAATATATATTTCTTTGTTACTACCAATCAAATATATATTTCTTTGTTGAATGCTTCATAGTTATTTGTTGATCATCATCATCATCTTCTTCCAACATAGTTTCTGGCACTGTGTAAGCTCATGTTTCAACAATGGGGACTGAATCTCCTCCTCATCAAAAGCTCGATCCTACGAACAAGGTAAGTTCCATTTTGAACATCGAACAACGATGGACGGGAATGTGTTTTGTAGAATTCAATTTGAGAGAAAGATGAATGAGTTTTTGTTATGAACTTCCAGGTGGATGAAGATAAACTAAAGAAGCAGAAGGAGATTGATGACTGGCTTCCAATCACTTCTTCAAGAGACGCAAAATGGTGGTATGCTGCATTCCACAACGTCACGGCTATGGTTGGTGCAGGCGTCCTTAGTCTTCCTTATGCCATGTCACATCTCAGATGGTATGTCTTGATTTACTTATTCCGTTTCTTTCAGGGATCGATCCTTTTTTTTTTTGCAATCGATCTCTGTGGACTGTAGTTCGAGACTAATAGGTTTTCATGCATATGATATGAAGAAAGATTAATATTTGACTATGTATATATGAAGGGGTCCTGGTGTTGTGATTTTGATCCTGTTATGGGTCGTCACACTATGCACTCTGTGGCAAATGGTTAAGATGCATGAGATGGTTCCTGGGAAAAGGTTCGATCCGTACCATGAACTCGGTCAGCATGCCTTTGGTGAAAAGCTTGGACTTTACATAGTGGTGCCTCAACAACTGATCGTTGAAGTTGGTGTTGACATAGTTTACATGGTTACCGGAGGCAAATCGCTGGAGAAAATCTGTCATTTGGTCTGCGACAAGCCATGCAAGGACATCAAAACGGCATATTTTATCATGATTTTCTCCTCGGTTCATTTTGTACTTGCCCACCTCCCGAATTTCAACTCCATTTCTGGGGTCTCTTTGGCTGCTGCAGTCATGTCTCTCACGTATTTATTTCCATCAGCTTTAAACATTTTAACAAAATCCACATATTGGACTGATGTTTTAATTTGTTTCATGCAGTTACTCTACCATAGCCTGCACTGCTTCAGTCCAAAAGGGCGTCCAACCTGACGTGCAATACGGCTACAAAGCCCCCACCCCCAGTGGAACCGTCTTAAATTTCTTTACGGCGTTAGGAGATGTGGCGTTTGCATATGCCGGACACAATGTTGTGTTGGAGATTCAAGCAACAATCCCTTCAAAAGGTCCAATGTGGAGAGGTGTGCTCATTGCATAAATTGTTGTGGCATTGTGTTATTTCCCCGTTGCACTCGTTGGATACTACATGTTTGGCAACAAAGTCGACGACAACATCCTCATTACATTGGAGAAACCAAGGTGGCTTATAGTCGCGGCTAACATGTTTGTCGTAATCCATGTCATCGGAAGCTATCAGGTTTGGAAACATGTTTGGTCTGCTTCAGCTTGATGTTCTGTTGGCTGAACAAGTACACAGTTTTCACACTGGTGTTTTTCTTTGTTTGGCAAATGCAGCTATATGCCATGCCTGTTTTTGACATAATCGAAATGGTGATGGTAAAGAAATGGCACTTTAGACCGACTCAAACACTTTGATTCTTCGTCCGCAACTTCTATGTCGGTAAGTAAAGTAATTTCCCCGTCCAAAGTTTACGAGAATCTGAGTTTGAAGTCATGATATCTGCAATCTTGGCTCTTGAACGGTCTCCTATGTTCCCCGAAATGAATGAAATGTTATATGTTCATTGTTTCAGCTGCAACAATGTATGTTGCAATTACGTTTCCCTTCTTTGGTGGTCTTCTTGGATTCTTTGGAGGATTTGCTTTTGCACCAACAACCTATTTTTTAAGTGCCCAAACCATTTTTTATTCTTCGAATCTTTATTCAATTGGAATTCTACTGGTTAACTCTGAAAAAATATGTCCATCTGATATATATATTTTCTGTAATTTCAGCTTCCATGCATCATGTGGCTTGCTATATACAAACCAAAGAGGTTCATTTTATCTTGGTGTACAAACTGGGTATATTTTTAACTTAAAACATCCTAAAGTTCTATGTTTCTCGAACTCTTCATTTCCGAGTATTGATGTCTAAGTAACATAGATGAGGTTTCTTCCTCGTATTGTCATCTGTTTTCTAGACATTAAATCTGATATTTGTTTTTTAAATATTCAGATATGTATCATACTGGGGCTTCTGCTAATGATTCTATCACCCATTGGAGGTTTGAGGAATATCATTATTAATGCCAAAGATTATCATTTCTACAATTAAATCGTTTCTGGGAATGTCATATAATAAGATTTGTATGGTTGTATCCATTGGTTGGCAATGGGGAAGGCTCACAACTGTTGTTTAAGCTTTCGTTGTATTGATTATCTGCCAGTCAGCCATTAGTGTGGTTTTGGATGCTGGTTTCTGTATGCAGTTTAGCTTTGAAAGATACCAGCAATGCCTGATTCACTACTGTTGCATCTGTAAAACTGAAACTGTTTTCAACTCAACCTAATTTTTGATAGTAGGTATTTCAGTAGGGTTTAAAGGATTGCTTACGACTTTTTATTGAATATGGTTTTGCACAGAATTCTACAAGTATTTATGAGATCGGGTACAGAAATTTGTTCAGTCGATATATGTTCTCTACTTCATTTCTCCTCACCTAGTCTAATAAAAGATGCATTTTTCAGTCTATTTCTCCATCCTCCGGATTATTTACGGGCTTTGGAACGGTAGGCGGTTCACCTTCTTCCTCTTCATCCTTCTTCATGTACAAACCAAGTTGTTCCAATGGGTTGTTGCTCCCGAGCTTAAAACTACCCAAGCCACCCTGAGAATGTTCTGGGCTTGTTTCATCGACTGAGCCATGCAGATTCTCAGCAGGGGCAGCTCTAAGCACTTCTAAGTCTTTGAGAAACCTGGAATTCTCATTGATTTCAACAGTCTTTTCCATCTACAAAAAAATGTGGAATATTAAGTCCATAATAAAACAAGGCAGCTAAATTATGAAATTGTTAATATGACGCATTCCTGTACCTTCAACAATGCCTGCCGTGCGGCATCCCTCTCAAGCTCCCTTTTCCGTCTGGCCTCAGCTGCAGCTTGGGTTTCGGCTCGTCCTTGAGCATCTTCAGCAGCCTTGGCTTCGGCTAGCAACTGTGCCTCATCTAGCCGACAATAACATATTTGTCACTTTGAAATACTAGATATAAATACACAAACTTGTCCTCAAAGACAAGCACACACATATATATAGTAACTTGAGCAAAAATTGCATTTCAAAAAGCCAGAAACACTAGATTGGACTTGGAGTTCAAACCTTTCTTACTTTGATGCTCAAGTTCTTCTCTCTCACGGCGCAGTTGTTCAGGATCCACATTCTCACCCTGATACAAAGTAAAAAAAGCTTGAAAAAGGAATAGGCATACAATAGTTTGACAAAACCAAGTTAGAACTAACCTGTGCAGTATGCGTCTTCTCTCGAGCTTTTAGAATGGTATCAGCAAATTGATTCTTCAATGTAGCAGCCCGGTAGAGTTTTTCAGGGGACACCTGTCTCTCAACTGGAGCACTCTCCCCTATAATTTTTAATTGGATAAACAGTGAGACACAGCTTTAAATAAATAAACCTTTGACGATCTTTGATGATTTTACTATCTTGGTGACAATCTGACTCGACAGAACTTGACTTTGCCTGAGAAGTCTGCTCAAGCTGATTGAAATGAACATCTTCTACAAGAGCCAATGGATTAACAATGCTTATATGCAAAAATGTGTATATATATATATATATATATATATAATTTCATGGCTTTTCGTCATTCAAGTAAACTAAGAACAGAAGTACAATATTTCTTGAGACTAATTACAAATAATATAAATTTAGACACTCACGATTCCTATCAAGAGGGTTGTTAACACTCGTTTTTTCATCAAATTGGGTTCCGGAATCTACAGCTCCCAGTACCTGAAGGATAATGCAGAGTAAGATGCTAGTTAGAAAGTAGTCTGGCCCACTTGAACCCCTGGGAATAGATAACTGTAATGTGGATCAAACACACCAACATGAGGTTAAAGAACTTAGTATTATTATTTAAAACCAAGTGTAACCAGCACAAAACCTTATGTGTACCCACCGGACTAGAAGCTTTAGTAGCAACAGCTTCATCGTCAGCACTGCCAGATTCTGAATCTGCAAAGAATACAAAAGAAACCGGTCATGGAAAAGGTATTTGGTCACATAAGAAAAACTTGCACTGAACATAATTTGGGGAAATTTTAGTAAACAATAGGAGAAACTAAAGAAATCGACTTGAAAAATATTAGCAATATTTTTTGATAGGATTTTTTTTTTTTGATAGGAAAAATATTAGCAATATTCAAAGTGATAAAGAAAAAGAGAAGTTAATACAGAAGGTTGTAATTTACCACATGGGGGGTCAAGAAATTGTTATTATCCTAAAATTGTTTGAATGCAAAAACCATTCTTTGTCAAAGAGTTTCTATATTTAAAAAAAATGAAGAAGAAGAAGCATGCCTACCATATGCAGGCTGCTAGGTAAATGACAGCACAGAAAACTGATAAAATGGATCCAAAAGAATGTAGCAGACTCAGGATTCATTATTTGACAAGATGAGGACCAAAAATAAAAATAAAGAGAAAATACAATTACCTCTGGAGCTGCCAGACCCAGCAGACTTGATGCTTCTAAGGTCTGCCTCCTCTATCTCCTTACGTGGATAGCTTGACACAGGAGGCTCATTTCCCCCAGCATCAACAACAACATTAGCCTGATCATCCCCTGCAAATGCAGAAGATAAACAGAGGAAGTCAGAAGTCTTAGAACATAGCTCAGAGGTTGGGATATCAAGCCAAGGGTTTGAAAGATTACCTCTGCCTTGTTGCATGGGTGAACTGTGCAGTCCAGATTTGTTCATTAGCTGTATAAGAAAACCATTTCCCAGAAAGAAAAGAAAAATAAATAAGAGTTTAGATGTAGGTAACCAGTTCATAAATATATACTACTTCGAAGCATCAATAGCAAGCATATTTTTCAGCATTTATATGGCTATGTACCTGAATTTCACAAGGTTCAGCTCTTGATTTGCAATTTTGTTTCTCTTGCAAATAGTCATCTAAAAGCTTCTGCAATATGAACAAGGTATTATCACTGAGGTCATCAATATCAATCTCAATTTCTTCCTCTTCTGAATCCCTTCCATTTGAACTATGCTCCCTCAAGAAATCAATTATATGCATAGGCATTTCTGTGAGTAAAGATTCCAACTCCACGCGTAGCTTGTGTTTTTCCTCATCCGTCATTCTCTTCACAGGGTCAGGTATAACATGTTGGGTGACAGAGATCGTCTTCCTCTTTTTAGCAGGAAGTATTGTCTTAGAAGTTTCTACATCCTCAGCAGGAGCTTTACTTTGAATCAACTGGGTAGCAACAGCAGGCAACTTCTTCTCAATATTTTTCCACCTGACTTCAAAAAATTTGTTAAGGGCATCAGCCATAACATGGACATCATTTCCAGGGGGGTTATAGGTCATTGCATTGGTGAAAGTAAGCCTCACATCATCATAAAACTCCCAGGGGCTTGTATATCCGCCTGAATCTATCTTCTTTTTAATTTTTCCTAGATCCATTGGGTGCTTTATAACATTGAAGTAATCAGGAATATTCAACTTCACTACATCTACAGGTTCATTGAAAACCCACCCATATTGATGTCCCATCAACCGTTTTAGCAAACCCTCACATTGCTTCATCAAGAAAATACTTGTTGTGTTTGCTTCTGAAACCTGCTTTGCAGTCTTAACTTTTCCTGAAGAACCCCGATTCTTCTTCCCCGGTTCAGAAGCCATCATGGGCAGTTTCTGAATATCCTTAACAAAAGGTAAGCATTGCCCATTGCTGCAACTAAGAATATCACTGGAGGATGACACAGTAACCCCATCGGTCCTTATCAACTCAACTTTCTTCTGAAGCATCTGTATCTGCTCCAGTTCATGCCTCAAACAATGTACCAAATCCTTTCTTTTAGAATGTGACATGTTTGAAAGGGTAAGCACTTGTATAGGAACACCAAAAGTGTCATGTTTAAAAGTGTCATGTTTATCAGAGTCAAACTGATACATTTCCTTGTTGGGGCACTTGAATCTTCTGAAGCAGTAACTTACGTATCAACTTCGTCCTGAGCTACCAGAACCCTTGGATTCACCGAGAGGCTCATATGGTTCAAATAGTACCTCCTGCAAACCTATCACTCTTTGCCAAAATCTTAGCCAAATTTACTTCCCTTCGTTTAATTGCCACTGATTTAATCACAAAACATACATCAACCATGGGAGACAAATTATCCCATCGGATTTCTAGACTAACTTTATACACCACCCTTAGATACAACTATTTAAGTAAGTTTGATAGTAGTTTTGAGCAAATTAGATGAACTCTTATAGTTTTGAGCAAATTAGATGAACTCTTATTCGCATTTACCCTAATACTGAAAACTTACCATTTTGTATACTTTCATGAACAAAATCATCTTTTGAAAGACCCAAATTCACCATATTAAACCCTAGAGAATATCAATAAAGAATTGACAGTCTTCCATTCCGCCGTGAATAACCCAGATTTATAATTTACCAAAAGCAAAAAGGAAATGCATGATATTTAATTGAATTTATTAAGAGTTTAATTAAATCAGTTCTTACAAGCATTACAAAAAACCCAAACTTCTTTAACCAAATTGTTTATCATTTTAAAAAATCCATTTAAAAAAATTATAAGGTTTAACCCTAAAAAGAAACACAAAAAAGAGAACACGATAGTCACATTTAACATTTTCAATCATGCATGATAAATTAATTGCAACATAAAGAGAAGCTAATTGGTCTGATTCGTATTTGAAAAATTTACAGTTTAATTTACTAGTTCAAAGCTCCAATCCTTACATCGGTACAACAAAACCCTAACCCAGTACCATATTCCCGTCAGCCCAACCAAAAACAACAAATTCTAAAAACTCAATAACAACCCCATGAAACTTACCAATCTTCCGTTGTTCCTTCACGGTTCCTCGAATTTCGAAAGCCCTAGCGGAAATTCCCTAATCTTTTCGGCAACGAATTGAAGGGGGGTAAACAGAAAGCTATTAACGATTGATTTTTGATAAAATAATTACTATTTTATCGGAAATTTTGAAAATTTGTATCGCTAAACACTATTAGTGAGAGCTTGGGTTGGGAGAGGGACGAAAAGGGTATCTTCTTCTGGGACACCCAAAGCAAATTGACTTTGCTGACTTTAGAGGTACTTTGACCTTTAGATTCAAGATGAAGTGATCGGACGGTCAGAATTACCTGCAATCTCATCCGTTGGTTTAAATCTTCAGTAAGATATATGTAGAGCACAATGTTCTTGATTTTGAGGTCGTAGGATCGAGTCCCACGGATGACATTTCATAATTCGGAGGTCTTCTACGGAAGTTGCTCTCAACCTGGTGTTAGGGGCAACCTACTATCTTACTTCCCCTTACCTCATTACATATGGGAGCAAGAGACATCCATATAGCCTTAGGTTTTTTATATGCTAATTAGGTGAAGTATTTCAGAAAAAAATAAATAAATTTATATAAATATATATTATTATTTTTAATAGTCTATAGTGATTATAAGATAAATTTATTAATAATTTTTTACCATTAATAATGTAAACACACCTTATAGACTATAAGATAATAATATTTCCTCTAATCATTAATTTTTTATTAATACTATTTTATTAAAAAATAATATATAAATATATTATTTTAGCTATCATTATTATTGTTAATAATATAATATTTTGATGATCAAAGATTCAAAATATTCTTTTCTCAACAAAAATAAAATATTTTAATTTTAGTAATCAAAATAAAAATATCTTCCACGACCCAACAGCAAAATTCAAAGCCTTAATGGTTGTTGAATTCTTCGTATTTTATTTTGGTACTTGTTACTTTTTAATAATTATAATATTTTAACTTAACTTCAATTATAAATGTATTTATTTTTATAATTATATGTATTTGATTATTATATTATTAATTCAGATTAAATGTTATAGAAATTCTTATGTTATGACAATAATTTTTTAAATTTAATTTTCTTCATATACAACATCATAAGTTAAATATTAATTTATTTAAAATATTTAATCAATAATTATTGGGGAAATTAGTTTATTAAATAAATATGGGTAAATATATTTTCTATTACTCATATTATAAATGTGATAAAAATAAAGTTATATTAATATTTGTATTATATTATTAAGTAACACTCGCATTTAATTTCAAGTAGAGATGGAAGTGAAGGATGGCATGCAGCAGCCTTGGCATGGTGGTCCCTTTTACATATATTTGTCCCATTTGTTTCTTAACACTTAGCTATTCGTCATTTAGATGTTATTTAATCTTGTTCGATTAAGCTGCCTTTATGGCTCTACGCCTAAACATAAGAGAGCCTGCTTATCTAATTATTGACTATCTTTGTCTGAATGTCATAGAATGAGACGTGGAATCTTATTGATTAACTCTTTCTGTTTCCGCTAATCATTTGTTTAACATATTTATAGACACTCATTTTCGTCCGGAGTTATTTTATTTTTTATATTATATATATATATATATATATATATATATATATATGTATATAGTAATATAATATTGTCGGAACCGTCTTTTGAGTTGATCCTAAAATTGGGATTCGACTTGAAATGAGTGAATTATAGTCGCCACCGATCACTTTAAAAAACATTTAGGTGGATCGGACACCATCTTACCTGATCTGCATTGTACCAGAAATGTATCGGGTTCGGGAGTCGGTTACGGTCAAGGAAGGATTAGCACTCTTGAGCCGCCCTTTCGGTATCAATTAATTTATCGGTTGTCTTTAATTACGAAAATTTAAAATTTAAATCGAAAATATTTATAGTTTAAAATATATATTATATATATATTTTAAAAGCGTTTTGAAAACATTTATATATTATATAAATTTTTAAAAATCATTTTAAAAATTTATATAATATATAGTTTTGAAAACGTTTTGAAAACATTTATATATTATATGGTTTTTAAAAATATTTTTAAGATATATATAATATATAGTTTTTTTAAAACATTTTTAAAAATATATATTGTATAGTTTTTAAAAAAAATCATTTTTGAAAACACGTATAATATATAGTTTTGAAATTTATATATTATATATTTTTGAAAACATTTTTATAACATATTGTTATTATTATTTATATTATTATTATTATTATTTATTTCCCTTTTATTCATTTCTTATTTTTATTTTTTATAGTTGTTTTCAGTCTAAAGTCCAAGTCCAATCCAAATAACGGGCCTGAATCAGCCCAACAGCAGATTAGACTTTCTTACTTAGGGGAATCACACAGTCAGTGCCGTGCAAGGAGGGAATCAAAGGGTCTGGTGCAAAACGGTCGGCGGAAATCCCGGGATGACCGGCCTCAACGGCCACGAGAGCCCCGTATTTCGGAACAGACAAACGGCCGGTGAAGGCTTATAAATACCAAACAGAGCCACGGTGACGGGGGACCATCATCGAGAGAAAATGGTACACACAGGTCATCCACAAACCAAACAGTAAACCAACGGAACCAACGAGTACACCAAACAACAACAGAGATATTAACAGAAAACACAACCAAAGGCAATATCACAAAATCGAAACCACAGAAAATACCAAAGGCCGAAGCCCCGCAAAAATCCAAGCAAAATATAAAAAACAAAGCAAAGTCAAGAGACCGTGTCAGAAACCAGAGAACCGAGAAGTCACCATCGGCGAAGGTAAAAAGTCGGATCTCCGGGCGCAGATTTACGTTGCTTGGGGTCTTTTTGTGAGGTTTGGGGCTCAGATATGGGACAATGGGATTAAGGAGAGCATTGTGGGTGTTTATATTTTGTCAGCCGCCGCCAATGACGGCCGGAAGCGACGGCGATCGGTGTCCGGGAAGGGTTGGCTGAGAGAATTTAAGAACTTTTCTCATTAGAGGGGAGAAGGATTTTCAGTGGAAATGTGAGAAATGAAGGTGATCGAGTGTTTTGATCTATTTATATACGAGGGACCATTGTGCAAATAGAGGATTTCTAAATCCTCTCCGTCATCCCTCGTACCTTGATCCGCTTTGCAGTTCAGTCACCAGTTGTAATTTGGCCACTGGATTTTCAATTGATTCAATTCGGTCCCATTTTATATTTCACATTTTTTACAATCTGACCCCCCAAATTCTTATTTTATTTATTATTATCATGGTTTTAATTATTACTAGCATTGTTTATTTTTACTTCATATCATTTCTATTTTATTACTTTTGAAATAATTTTTTTGATTTATTTTTTTATATTATTTATTTTATTTCCTTTTTTATTTTTATTTCATTTCTTTGATTTACTTTGATTTATTTACTTTTTTTAGTCTTTATTTCCTTTTCTTTCATTTTATTCCTTTTTTATGTTTTTTATTACTATTTTATATATTTTTTAATTTATGTTTTTTTGCCCTTTTTTATCTAATGTTCTTTTTTCATTTTTCACTAATAATCTCAATCGATCCAAGGTAAATAATTTGAATCGAATATTTTAAATTTCGATTTAAATTTTTAATTTTCGCAATTAAAGACAGCCGATAAATTAATTGGTACCGAAAGGGCGGCTCAAGGGTGCTAATCCTTCCTTGATCGTAACCGACTCCCGAACCCAATACGTTTCTGGTATAATACAGATCAGGTAAGATGGTGTCCGATCCACCTATATGTTTTTTAAAGTGATCGGTGGTGACTCTAATCCACTCATTTCAAATCGAAACCCAATTCCGGGCCCAACCCAAAAGACAGTTCCGACAATACTAACCATCCCTCCCAAGACTTGAAAGAGAGAAAATTCACTTTGCGTTCAATTACATCGATAAATGGATATTTAAAATATGAACAAATAAAAAGGAATAGCCCGACTGAGTTAGATGGCAATTGTCATATCCAAATATGAAGATTCCAGCCTGCTTCGGTCCCTCATCCTACATATGCCTCTTTGTCTCTGCATATTCCCCCTGCTTAATTCGAAAGGCGCATGAGCGATTTCATTTTCCACAAACGTTCAAGATTCTCTTGATCAATACATAAGAACATATGAAAAGAGAGACTAAAATACATGGTTTTGATGTGGGATTTTGGCATTTTGTACATACTATTAAAATACTAGTGTTTCAGCAACAATGGTTCTTGGTTTGAATGCAAAGGACCGGAGAAGGCTAACCGTTCGTGTCGATTACGTAAACCTTGGCCCCCATCGCAGTCACTTAGATCACTTCGTTCCGTTTTGATTCAGTGGGAAAACGGTGAAGAAATTCGGGGTCTACCAAAACTGCTTCACCCATATTTGGCTCCATTATCGATGAGGGAAAAATTGAGTTTAACGAGTTATTTAAATTGTACTTGTATCTAGTAAAGGATATATCTGTGAAAGGTTGAGATGCTGATGTGTTCCATAAGATTTTCTTATAATTCAACATTGTGGATTTGGCGGAATATGGTGTTATCAAAGAGACGGTAGACGTTATTGTTTCGATGAACAACAAAAGGAGCTATAGTAGTAACGCTACTCAACCAATCTTGTTCATTGAACTTGATAGAATTCCTTAAGGTCAAAACTTCTCTTC